AAAGTTTATTTCTGGCGACATTTTGACGAGGGTTCTCTCGTCTTATCCATAAATTGTATTCTATATGATTGTGTTGTGTTATGCTCATTCAGTTTCTGCAGATCGGAGGACCTGACAAAGACAACTGTCTAGTCGTTCGGATGGGATGAAAAACCAAGGACCCATGTATACATTGGCATGCACGTTAAAGATCCTTTGGTAGTTGGAATTCGATATAAGGGAAGACCATAGTGCCACTGCCTGGCAAAATTTCCCTCATAGCACACTGTATGGCATATGCCCGTCTTCATTAGCTCAATAGGAGCAAAACAGTAGGACGTTAAACCCCATTTCATTCAGTTTCTAATATAAATGCCACTTAAATAACTTCATAAAATATAGCGTGAGTAGAGATCTGTTCATGTATTATTTGCAGATTGTATTATCTAATCAAAAGCCAGCGTAAAGTCACTCAGCTTTTGGATTAAATGGAAATAATGATGTTTCTGGTGAAATTAAATCTCCTGAAATTGTACTGCAAAAATATCATTGATGTTCATAAAAAATCTTAGCATGTCGATCATTTCTGATATAAATTATGGCCATTTGAAGTTTACATTGGTTTCTGCTGATTTCACATCTTTGTGTGGTGTCTTAGATAAATATAGTTATATCCTTTCCATACAAGTCACCTAATTTCTGATGAAAGATTATTTTTGACTTAAATGTGATTTTAAAATTACATAATAACAGCATCGATACATTTAAAAAATAGAACATATTTTTAACTTTTGAAACATGTATGTGAACAATGTTTAGTCAATTGGGGACTGATATGAATATTCATATTCATTACTGATATTATTCTATAAATAGAATGATACACTTTTAATAAGGCACTGATATAAATATGAATATTCATGTTTGTAATAGTTTGATATTTTTATTATTCTGTAAATAAAATGATGTCTCTGATATAAATATGAATATTCAATAGTGATATTATTCTGTGAATAAAATGATGTCTCTGATATAAATATGAATATTTGTTAATGATATAATCCTATAAATAGAATAGGTAAGGGTTAGGGGATGGGGTAACTATTTGCTTTCTTTAATAAGAATGAGTGTAAATAAAAGAACCGATATTTGTACTTGCATACAGGATGTATGTGTTTAAGGTGTGCCAGTCTTCAGAGTTACACGTTGGTTATAAATAAATACACATCGTTGGTTGTACCTAGGGCCTACATTTTATTTAATGATTCATTACATAAGATTTAGATAAAAAGCTAGCCAGTCTTGCTATAATAGTTCAAAATAGATACTGGTAATGAAAAATGAATATTACATTATTCTGAGCGAAATTATGAATGTTTATAATTTTGACCAAAAAATAGCATAAATGGTCTCAAATGTCAGGTACTGTTGATATGATTATTAATATAGTTTTGATTTTCCGTTTTAACGTTTAACGAAGATATGGCAGATATTTTCAAATTACTCAGCCATCTGTTAGTCTAGAGGGTTGATTTTGAATAATTGTCTAAATGATAATTTATTTAAACAAGCATTATTCAAGAGTTAAATTGCAGGACTTTCTTTAAGCATTAAATGTTATATAAATTATATATTAGACTTTAATTAACTTACCAAGACTATATTCAACTCTTGATGCCATCAGATGGCTGTGATATTAAGTTGATTTAAATAATTTTTGCTGTTGATGCGGTTACCGTAAACATGGATAATCAAGACTTTGTTTATTATCATAACAACAGTACCAATAAGTGAATAACAATTGAGACTACAGAGTGAAGTAATTCCACTGAAATTTTCAACATATTCCCTTTTCATTATCTATTTTTTTAACTATTCTAGCGAGAACTGTCAACTCTTCTTTTCTTACCTAATGCCCCTTTAAGATTTGAAGCCAGGAAATAGACCTGTTATAGGCAGATTCAGGTCCTTGGTAATGTATCTATAACTGGGATTTGTATATGAGAGAGAGAAATGGGGTTTAATGTCCACTCGACACAAACCAGGTCATTTCAGACTAACATATGGTTCAATTTTTTTTTTTTTAATAATTCGCTTGCACATAGGGGTCTTTAGCAGTGGGAGGAAACCGGAGTACCTGGAGAAAACCCACGAGGTTGGACGGCGACCCTACTCCTTGTCATGTACAACCGGGGGGATTCGAAATCACGCCAGTTGACTCAATGACAGGCCTTATGATACAGTTCGGCCATCCCCCCTCCCCCCCGTAAAAGTATATGAAGTTAAACAACTCAAATATCATTTCATTTATTTTATTTATACTGCTTAATTTGATGAGATTTAATCAGGTGTACAAGACACATACGCAGAAATTATAACTAGTAGTCACTGACTACAGGATTAATCTGGGCTTTCTGTGATAAATGATAGTTTATGACAGCAGGAAAAGACATGAATTAAATTGTTATATACCACATGATTGATGACTCGTTAGTCTGGGGGTAAAGACAACAGGATGGTAGTAACTCAGACAAATAATCCACTTTATATTCTCTTGTCGTATTTCATGGGCAGTCTTCATATGCCCAGTAATTTTGTATTTTATTGGACATATTGGACATCAATTTTAAAACTACTGGGGTGTTGGGTGGTCTAGTGGTTTAACACGTGCAAATGAAATCGCTTGTATGTGACAAGTTGTAGGATTGTATGTCCAGTCTGGTGAGTTTTCTCACGGTCCTCTGGTTTCCTCCCACTGTTAAAGAACTCTACACGAATGCAAATTATTGAAATAAAATTAAACTATATGTTAGTCCCCAAATGACCTAGTTCACATTGAATGGCAGATAAACTATTGTCCCATGTAATGGTCAAAGTTAGATAAATAAGTTTTATAACAAACTGAGTAACGATTTGCAGGACATGGATGTTATTCTATTAAACTGTTCTGCCCCTTTTCCCCTTTCTCCTGGTTGCGGGTGCTGTACAAATGTCTTCTGCTGCTGTAGACATCTATGCACAAGCGAATGAATGATATAAAGTTTCACCCTATGTTAGTCCCATACTAATCTAGTTTGTGTTACTGTCCCACCCCTCTCTCTCTCTCTCTCTCTCTCTCTCTCTCTTATTTAATGTCCATGTTGGCTTTAAAGCTGCATGAGTGCCTCACAGATTCTAATGTGTCAGATTTTTGTCTTTCAAAATCGGCAGAGAGGTGAATAAATTTAGGTTAATAGGTGTATGTTGGTCAGCCATAAGAATCTATAGCATTTTATATTCTAATATTTTTTAGACCGAACCAAATATGTTGGTCAGCCATAATAATCTATAGCATTATTTTTTATTGTGTTCTGATATTTTTTAGTCCGAACCAAATATGTTGGTCAGCCATAATAATCGAATATCATTATTTATTGTGTTCTGATAGTTTTTAGACCAAACCAAATAATAAAACCCCTTGTTCACTTTACTATAGACTGGATTAAATCATAAAATACAATTCACGGTCATGTTGAATTATTTATGAACCTTGAATTAGGAGAATAGCTAATTTTATATGTAGGCCAACTTATGAATCTGTATAATCTTTGCTGGGAGTTTTGGGGTTTCTGTTGCTGTCCTCAATTTTAATCTAAGAATGTAACAGGGCTAATGAGGACAGGTATATGCCATGTAGTGTTCTATGAGAAATATATCTGCCTACTATTTATCAAATTCTTTTTACATGCTCACAAATTCTCATATGAATACCGGTAGACACTTTTCCCCACCCGACCCTCAATCCTGCTTCAATGACAACTGGAAACCACTCTGGAAAACTCAGATGAACTTCTGTGGCCAGCACCAGGATCGAACGCTGGATCTCCTGATTAGTGAGCCAGCGTGTGGCTTCCTAAGAATGTGTACCTTATGGTTAACGTTACCAGATTATTGACAGTAGAAATAGGGACATTCATTTACTGCCATTTATTGGCTTTCTGCTCTGTACTTTATTCAATAAAGGCCCGTTTTAAAAAATTATGTTCAAATACTGAACAGTAAAGTAACCAAACAGTATTTTACTCAAAATAAAGATTAAATTCTAAAAATAAATTCTCCAGGAATTCCTATTATATTTTTTTTTATTTCTTTGAAAAAAAATAAATAAAATTAAAACAAAAAATTTCTTGGTTGCTTTTTTCTGAACATTTGTTAGTCCAAAATTTATAAGTTTTGAAATTTTAAACAAAATATTGTTTATGTGACTAGAATGGCTAGTTTGTTATCAAGATCCTGAAGATCAAAAAATGAAATTGCTTTTGACTATATTAGATCGGAAATGTTAGTTGGATGAATCAGTTAATTCTATTTTATCTTTGAATTAGATATTCAAAATTTTCATTTTGAAAGAATGAAATTAAATTAGATTTATCTGGTACATATTAATATTAAGACTAAGATATAGATATACCTGTGTATTGTGTTACATGTATACCTGGGATCTCAGGTGAAATTCAATAGTGACAGAGAGGTATTGTGAATGAATGAAATGGGGTTTAATGCCCTGCTCCTATAATGATGTATTTCCTTTTTTTTCGGAAAAAGTAATTGAATAGTAATAAAAGAAATGTTATTACCAGTAGTATGTATTGTATAGATTTTACTCAGGTAAAAAAAACCAGCTAGATTTTCAAATAAAAATATATTTTCGGCAATTCGTAACAATGATTGCATATAATATTAATAAAAATCCAATGTTTTTCAGAAAATATATATTTTCAACAAGTCTTAACGATAAATACAAGAATCCAATATTTTGGAGAAAAACATATTAATTATAAGATATTTTCAGAAATCCTGTTTGAACAGGTATTATAAAATAAGGAGATTTCAGCAAAGTGAATACAGGTAAATGTAATAATAAATTTTCATTATTAAAAAGAAACCAAATAAAATTCCAATATAAGAATCGTATTTAGATAAAATTAATAATAAAAAAAAAATTGTGTTTTTTTTTTTCATCAGTAAATTATCAGACTTACCTATAAATGTACATATCAATAATAATCCACTGAGATAAGGCGTCATGTTGCAGTTTAATGTAAGACAACGAGATTCTATACAGGTGAAAATAGGTGAATTTGACTTGTCAGGTGCAAAACACCAACTATACTGTCTTCTACTTGTCACAGCTACACACCTACATATAATTTTCCCTGAGGTTATAGTTCACAGGTTAAAGTTGAGAGGTCACTTAGGTAATATGCTTTAACTGTTGGATTCTTGTTGCAGGGAATTAGCCCTTCGGTTTACTCATTTAGTCTCCATTAACAAGACATATTTTTTATGATGTTCAGTGACTATTAAGGACTGGGTGATAATCAAGGAAATGAGAATTTGTTTTTCAGAAACAAACAGAACTTAGTTTATTTACTTGAGGTCGTAGTTCACAAGTGAGAGGTCATACAGGTATGTTTCTACCTGAACTAATGAGAGATCTTTCTTCAGATTAGATCTAATAGATGCCCCTGGGGTGTGTTTAAAAGAATTTGGTTAAAAGTGTGACTTATAATATAATGAATTAATATTTTGTGATGAATGAATTTTTAATAAATGATTTTATAGTTCAATGTTTTTATTTAGTAAATTGAACTGACGTTGACCACACAGCAGAAAATGAAGAGACCTGAAATGGTGTTTAATATCCTGCTTCACTGCACCAACCAGGCTACTCAAGTGGCATGGTTTCAATTCGCCTGTCCAACCTCATGGGTTTACTCTGAGTCCTCTTGTTTCCTCCCACTGCTAAAGACCCCTATGCACAAGCAAATTATTAAAATAAAATTGAACCATATGTTAGTCCCCAAATATCCTAGTTTGTGTCGAGTGGATGTTAAACCCTATTTCTCACTCTCTCTTGGCAGCAGCATTTCCGCCCATTCTTCATGGAATTCCAACACTCAAGAGTTCTTTTATTTGCATGCTAACCTGACTATGGTACCTCACTGTTTTTGTCCCATTCCAACAACAAGATGCTGTCCTTTGTCAGGCCCTCTGTTCAGCACCACTAATAGACGGTGAAAAATCCTGAGATACTTTCCCGGCCAATATCAAGATCTAATCTGGGACTAAAGTGTTCTAGAGAATGCTCAAAAATGGATGTAACGATAACATTTAATTCAGAGCATGAGAGATCGATTTGGGGGGGGGGGGGAGGGTTAGCTTGTGCGCGCTGTATCATATGGTCTGTCATTGAGTCAACTGGCGGGGTTTCGATTCCCCGGTTGTACGTGATGAAATAAAATTTGAACCATGTGTTAGTCCCAAAATGACCTAGTTTGAGTTAGTCCCGAAATAAACTAGTTTGTGTCTAGTGGACGTCAAACCCCATTTCTCTCTCTCTCTCTCTTGAGAAGATCGATTTTGTCGTCAGGGTTGCATGTGTAAAAAAAAGTCATAACTGACTGGTGATAACAAAATTCCAAAGTATCACTGAAAGTGGAAGAATCCCTATAACAGTACAAGTATCGCTAGCACTTGGGGATACTGCCGAGGAAGAGCAGGAACAAAATCCTGGTAAATAATCTTAATACATTATCTCAAGGAATATTATGAATAAAAGTTGTTGTTTGTCAAAGAGATCGGATTTGATAAAAAATATAAGAAACTTTCTTTGCCAACACTGAACTTAGGATGAAAGAATGTGATGAAAACATTGAATTTGGGGAATGAGAGATTGGTTTTGTCATCTTGGCCTCTAAAATCATAACTGGTGATAATATATAAATTAATTATTGTTAATAAAAGTCATTTGTCAAGGTGACCGGATTTTACCAAAAACTCAGAAAGTAGAGACTTCTCATTTAATATAGCTTACGAAGGTCAATGACTGTTTAAAAACCATAATAAACCAGTATAGAAAGCATTAGCTTGGGTCAATAACCAATAACCTTTTGGAATCCCTAAAATAAGTGATGTAATGTTGTATAATAGGGGTTTTATTGTTAGGGATAATGGACCCTATTATTATCCTAATGATAGACCCCTATAGACTTAACTATATAAAAATACCGTAGACGATTGTTATATAAGATTGAGATCAATGTTTCAATCAATTATGATGACATGACATGTTGAAATGTGGTCAATAGGGGTAATGAAATGAAGGGTTTAGAGTATGTCGTAATTGGTGGGAATTTGTGAGTAGAAAATCAAGTTTTTGTGCAGATTAACTGGACAGAATTGGCAAAATAATTTGATTAGAGATAAACTACTACTAAGCCCACTTCAAAAAAACCATTAGTCGGTGATTAATCCTATCCATGCAGAAAATTCTGTCCAACCTTTTTTTTTTTCCATAATATACATTCTGATGATGCAGAGTACAAAATCAAAAAGGGCATTCCAAAACATGGGAAAATTTTTAAATTAAAAATCATATTACTGGTAAGCAGATATATTTGCACTGGTCTAACTGCTGAGTTTTTCAATATCACTTCTTCAATATTACAATAATGTTCCTGAGCAGGAGGATGTCACAATATTTCTTAATCAGTAATAACTTTTAAGTGGTTTGTTTGAATCAAAACAAATTCTTTGTTCCTAAGGCATTGTTTTTTCGTTACATTTTTTTTTCCTCCCTCCCTCCCTTTCAGATACCATAATTTTTTAATTGCAGAAGCGTCGGAAAAAGGGTAAATTTCATGTATGCTAAGTAATGCCAATGTTTTTTTTAGTTTGCCTTTTAATCATATGGAAGAAAACTGCCTGTTGTTACCTCCATAATATCATGTCATTATTGGGGAAAGAAATTAAAGGCAAATGAAGACAGGCACAATTTTCCCAGGCCGCAGCACTACAGATTAACTATATCTTGAATTCAAACTTTCCATCCAATCCGAATGACTAGACACAACTTTACTCATCAGGCCCTCGACTCCAAACCTCTCCTTTTATTTGGCTGTCTCGAAAAAATTGAACTTGGTTGCAGTTGAGTACCTCTAAAGGGAGGTAAGAACATCACAGTATGGATGCAGACCACCAAACATTCTCCCATTCCCTGTTAATACTTTATTTTTCGTTGGGTTGAACACTCTCTGCCACAGATGGAGTCACATCTGACAATGTCTTATTCCAAAGCTTTATATGAGGTTGACCAAGGAAATTTTGAGGTAGACATAAGAATATAACTATCCACTACATATCACCATAACCAACTTAGTTTGATTTTTTTGTAAACCATGAATTTGTTAGAAAATGTCAATTCAAGTCTAGACCAAAAAGTCACCCAAACTGGCCATTCCAAAGGAGTAAAAAGGTAAAGAGACCATAAATAGAAGGAACTACCTCATTTATGGGTATCTAGGTAATTGGTCACCCTCTGTATATTCTGTAAATGAGAGGCTCACAGAACCAGACAAAAGACACAAGAATTACATTAGTTTTTATACGCCCACATTTAATGTGGTCGTATATTGTCGTCGCCCCCGTCCGTCGTCCACAATTGTTTGTGGACGCTCTAGAGGCTAAAGTTAATATCCGATTGACTTGAAATTTATACACAGTGTTTAAGATCATGAGACGAAGAAGCCTATTGATTTTCAGTGATTTCCAATAATAACTGCCAGAGTTATGGCCCTTGATCACTTCAAAAAATCTTGTGGACGCTCTAGAGGCCAAAGTTAATATCCGATTGATCTTAAATTTATACACAGTGTTTAAGGTCATGAGACGAAGAAGCCTATTGATTTTCAGCGATTTCCGATAATTACTACCAGAGTTATGGCCCTTGATCACTTCAAAAAATCTTGTGGACGCTCTAGAGGCCAAAGTTAATATCCGATTGACTTTAAATTAATACACAGTGTTAAAGGTCAATAGACGAAGAAGCCTATTGATTTTTAGCAATTTCCGATAATTACTGCCAGAGTTATGGCCCTTGATCACTTCAAACAATCTTGTGGACGCTCTAGAGGCCAAAGTTAATATCCAATTGACTTTAAATTTATACACAGTGTTTAAGGTCATAAGACGAAGAAGCCTATTGATTTTCAGCGATTTCCAATAATTACTGCCAGAGTTATGGCCCTTGATCACTTTGAAAAATCTTGTGGACTCTCTAGAGGCCAAAGTTAATATCCGATTGATCTTAAATTTATACACAGTGTTTAAGGTCATGAGATGAAAAAGCCTATTGATTTTCAGCGATTTCCAATAATTACTACCAGAGTTATGGCCCTTGATCACTTAAAAAAATCTTGTGGAAACTCTAGAGGCCAAAGTAAATATCCGATTGACTTTAAATTCATACACAGTGTTTAAGGTCATGAGACGAAGAAGCCTGTTGACTTTTAGCAATTTCCGATAACTACTTCCAGAGTTATGGCCCTTGATCACTTTGAAAAATCTTGTGGACGCTCTAGAGGCCAAAGTTAATATCTGATTGACTAGAATCATGAGACGAAGAATCCTATTGATTTTCACCGATTTCCGATAATTACTGCCAAAGTTATGGCCCTTGATCACTTTGCAAAATCTTGTGACGCTCTAAAGGCTAAAGTTATCATCAGATTGGTACACAGAGTTTAAGATCTTGAGAGGAACAAGTATATTGATTTTCAATGAATTTTTATAACTTGGAACAGCTAAATCCATGATATTAAAAGTTTTGTATACAAAACGTTAGCATGGGGTAGAACTTTATAAAAACCAAACAAATTCTAATGGTTTTCTCAGTTGTTGCTCTTAATCAGATTTTAGTGTATTATAAATGTTTCATTACCGAAAAAAGTAAAAATATACGACAACTCTTGTTGACTGCCCGGACGATTTAGCTGCTGTGGGCGTATGTTTCGTTGCCTGGCAACCTATCTTTTTTTTTTATACGTCCACATTTTCATGTGGACATATATTGTGTTTTTAGCTTGTGGACCCTATAGAGGTCATAATTTTTATCAGATTTCAAAAACTGTTTGAATATATCACCGTTACACCCTAGGGATGGTTGAATTCGAATTTCGTAAAAATTGAACCAAAACTGACAGACAAAATTGCCGCCTCTCGTACTCAAATAGCGTAAAAATAAGGTATATGAATGTTGTGGACCCTCTAGAGGTGACAATTTTCTTCTGATTTTGATGAAACTTGAAATGTAAGTTTATTACCCAAAGATCTTGGTTCCTTTCAATATTTGCGCATATCGGATT